AAAAAAAAAAAAAAAAAAAAATTTATTGAGCATGTATTAAGTGAGGATTTAACAGGGTAAAAGATATGCTCCCAGACCCTGGAGAGTTAGGGAGAAAATTATGGGCAAATGAAAAGTTAACTAATACACAAGCTAGGAATCTGGGCACAGAGAAAGCTCAGTCCCAGTCCCTGCTCCAGTTTAGAAGCTACAGACCTTAGGTTAACTGCTGAACTTCCCTAAGACTTGTTGCTCTGTAGAGATTACAACAGTATCTACATCATCACAGAGATGTCATGAGGACTAAATAGGATGAAGGATAGAAAGCGCTCAGCACTGGGCTGTGCACCAGCTATTTATGAACCAGCAATTGCAGACTGGCAGAGATGATCCCCAGAGGGGGCACAGAGGGAGTGGTGAGGACCGGGCTACACTCCACCAGGGTGTGAGAAGGACCGGGGCTTCTCAGTGCAGGAAAGGGAACAGATTAAAACTGGAGCCTTGCACACTCTTGGTAGAAATGCAAGATGGTGCGGCCGCTATGGAAACCAGTATAGAGGGTCATCAAAAAAATTTAAAATAGAACTACCATAGGATCCTCCAATACCACTTCTGGATATATATCCAAAAGAATTGAAGTCAGGATCTGGGAGAGCGTCTATACGTCCCTATGTTTCACTGTAGCACTGTTCACCTTAGCCAAGATGTGGAAACAGCCTCCGAGTCCATAGACAGATGAACAGACAAAGAAAAATGTCTCATATGTAGACAATGGAATATTGTTTGGTCCTTAAAAAAGAAGGAAATTCTGCAACAACGTGGATAAACCTGGAGGACTGCAGGATAAGTGAAATAAGCCAGCCACAGGGCTGTCATTAGAATTTCACACACACGAACCATCTAGTAGGCAAGTTCATAGAATCAAAGAGGGTTGCCAGGGTGTGGGGAGTGGGAGGAGAAAAAGGGAGCTGCCAATCAATGGGCATAAAGTTTCAGGTAAGCAGGGTGAGTGTGTTCTAGAGATCTGCTGTACAACACTGTTCCCCAAGTTAGCAGCATTGATTGTGCACTTAAACTTTCGTTCAAAGGGTAAAGTTCATGTAAAATGCTTTTACCACCATCAGTTAAATGTGGGGGGGGGGGTTGTTTTAATAAAAAAGAGATAGATTGACACAGCTACATCAGAGGTGAAGGATCATTCAAGGGAGCCCTGAATGGAAAATGTCTACCCACCACCTCCCACCTAAGCACCCTTCTCCTGAAGCTAGAAGGAGCCCACCTTCCCAAGGAGTGTGGGACGATGTTCTAACTCAACGCAGAGGGATGGGATTTTCTATTTCAATCTTTGCTCCCCAACCAGTATTTGCAGCTGAACCACAATCTTAAGAAACAGGCTGAGTCAGGTGCACGGCGGAGGCCACTCTGAGGACATGCCAGTAACTCAGCCAGCGTGCAAGACCCAGGCAGCCCCAGTATTCCCTGTGCGAGGCTGACTGTGAGCATCCTCCGCACAGATGCTTTCTTGGCTCACAGAGTGGTTTTGAACCAAAAACTACTCATGGAGGCTCCATTCAGATCCACGGTCCCTCCCCTGCCACAGGGCCAGGACCTGGCAGCATCTCAGGTCACTAGGTCAGCCACGGGGCCAGCAGCAGAGAGGGAAACAGAGACAACCCCAGGGGACTGTTGGGGCAGGGTCATGGGAAGTGGCTCCGCTGCTCCTGG